ATGAAGGAAAAGGGATTGCGGCGTGACCATCTCCCCTGGGGGGTGATTTCTCGCTTTCTGTCTCTATGTCTCTCTCTGTCTGTCTGGCGAGCGCACGCGCCCTATAGTAAAAAAAAAAAAAAAAACTCTCAAAAAACTTATTTTATTTAACTTTATTTATTTATTTATTTAAATTTGACCTGAGAGAGACAGAGGAAAAGAAAGAGAGAAGGAAAGTGAGAAGGAAAGCCGCCAGGTCCAGTACTCAAACAGCAGTCAGCCATATATGGGAGTCCAACGCCCTTAACAACCATGCCACCTGCTAGCCCCCCAAATTTAATACTTTTATGCCTATTTTCTGCCAGATGAATAAAACAAAGATAATTTTAAAAGGTTTTGTTTTTTTTGGTCACAGTCTTCTATGTTGAGTAGAGGTTTTGGATATATGTGTATAAGTGTTTAAATAAAGAATCCAACCAAAATCAAAGAATAAACATAGTAATTACTCTTCAGGAAGATATTTTTCCTGTGTAAATCAGTTGTTGAATAAAATGTTAGGAAATTAACGGTGCTTACTTAGCTTGTTGAATTTTGACTAAACTGTTAGAAAAGCTAAGCTACCGGACTTGTGGGATTGCTCTGTTCAAACAGGAATTCTGAATTCTGACCTCCCCTCTCTGGACTAGGAAAGAACTGAAGCAAGAGCCTTCCCTCAGCATCCAAAAGCCACCTGTAGAGAAGCTGGGGCTCTGAGCAGCAGGAACTATACATTTTTTTAAAATCTAGAAACCTAGTTATTTTCACCTTTTTTACCTAGTGCTTAAAGTAGTTAAGTAGGCACATGCCTTATAAGAATTTGCATGCAGAAGCCTATTATTCACAGGTAAAAAGGAAGCTGGTGTGTTTACAGTCACTGTAGCTGCAAGTGGTGAGAAAGCAGCCAGGGCACTTTGCCCAGTTTCTGCATGGGGCTGCAAGACCAGGAAGGGTAGTTTTCCCTAAGAAACAACCAACCCCTTCAAGTAAGGGCTAAATTCATGGACTATGGAAATCATTAATTTTCCACTAAAACAATTTTAATAAAAGTATTTACTCTTGGCAGGGCTGACACTTCCTTTCTATTAATTTCTGTTTGTTTTCAAAAAACTCATTGAAGTAATTCACCACTACTTCCTGAGGAGTGTTTTCATATTTAAAGTTGATTCACTTTACATGGCTTTCTAAGCTTGTATGTTCCACTCTGGAGCAATATTTAATTGCCTCAGTAGTCTCAACACAGGAGAATTTGACTCTGATTTTTTTTTCCTTTCTTTTATTATCTTTTCTCCTCTTCCATGCTTAATTTTAAATACAGGGGGTTCAACTACCATTTTGTTAATCTTGAAGATTTCTACTAAGCAATTTGAGAAGGATCTGTCCTTTGACTGCCTGAAGGATCTCAGGCAGCAGCTTGCTATAGATCTAATGAAAATCTGTCTGTGCATATGCACAAATTGACTAAAGAGAGTACATCAAATGCTAATTCAGAGATGCAGAAGTAATATGCAAATAGAGATTCTAAACTTACTGCACCATCATTTTTAATGAAATAAGTTATTCAGCCCTTACATTTAAGGAAATAATAAAACAATGTCTTGGCTCAGTGCTCTGGAATATAGTATCTTTTCCTCTTAATTCACTGATTATCAATTCACTTCTCTTTACCACCAGATGGATTTGAACTTATTGAACTGAAAGGACTTTTTAAAAAATCCTAGTTTACGTAAGCTTGATATTAAAGTTTCTCATGCATGTACAAATTATGGGCCAGAATGTTTAAGTCATCCACACAAATGTATTTATGAGACTGCACATTTGATACAACATTGGTTTGAATTTTATAAATGTATTATGGAATCCCCAAGATAAATGTTCATAAAACAACACAGACCTTTCTTGTACCTATAATATTTTGAAAATTGAATACTTACATACATCAGAAAATTGTATCTGAATTAAATCTTAATTATTTACATGCATCACCATAATTTTGTGATTTTTATCTTATTATTGCCTAAAATTTGTCACTGTAAAGAAAGAAAATTAACTTAATTTTTATTGTGGTTGAAGATGTTTACAATAATGAAAAATAATTAGTGATAATTCTACAATTGATGGATTTATTTATTTATTTTTAGAGTTTTTTTGCTATAGGGTATGTGCACTCACCAGAAAGACAGAGCGAGAAAGAGAGACAGAAAGTGAGAAATCACCCCCCCCAGAAGGGATGGCCAACACCGCAATCCTTTCTCCTCCATTCTCCTCTTGGGATCTTGGGCACACACACACACACACACACACACACACACACACACACAGAGTAAGTTTAAGCTGCAGGTCTGGGACTCAGACTGCGGTCGACTACATGGTAGTCCAGCGACATAGCCATTACATCATCTGCTGATTCCATATACAAGTAAGTTTTGAATAAAAGGGATTTTTTTATTGGACAGCAAGCCTTGCCTATAGAATTCTTCCAAAGAATTATTTTTCTCAATTATGTTTTTCAATAAAACCCTCCCATCATTATTACTAAAACATCATACTCTTCAAGAAACAAAGTAAAATTTAAAAAAAAAAGAAAAAGAAAAAGAAAAAAGAAAAAAGAAAAGGAAGGTAGAGGAAAGAAAAGTAAAAAGAAATCCTTTAAGAGTAATCATGAAATGAGCTACTACTGATGTTGAATCAATGTACTCAGATCTGTCCCTCTGGTCGTCATCTTCATGGTGTTTACTGTACTGATTTGCTTCAATTTAAATAAACTATCACAGTGTAAGAGTAGAAAAGGTGAAATCTTTGAACCAGCTGTTGGTGTAATGGCTATGTCACTGGACTGCCATGTAGTTGACTGTAGTTTGAGTCCTGGACACTGTGGCTTAAACTCATGCCGGGCATGTGTGCATGGATGCCCAGGATCCCAAGAGGAGAAAGGAGGAGAAGAGATTGTGGCATGGCCATCCTCTTAGGGGGTGATTTCTTGCTTTCTGTCTCTGTTTCTCTCTGTTTTTCTGATGAGTGCACATGCCCTGTAACAAAAAACCTCTCTAAAAAAATAAAAAATAAAAAGGTGAAATCCTGAGAAAAAGTATGATGTGGATATGTGAAAGATAAAAATTAAAAGAGAGAGAAAGAAACAAAATAAAAATATACCTAGTTCAGAGGGGAAGAAATCTTAGACATT